CTTGCCCTACAAAAAAAAAAAAAAAAAAAAAAATCAAGTCAGAAGCAGAAAAACGGAGAGTTTGTGTGATCTAAGATAAATGACATGTAAAAGTCCATAAAGGCTAAAATGCTTAAAATGCTTTTTGCATTTTTTCGCCATCTATCGGGGAAACGCGGGTATTGCAGGGAAAAGGCAGAAGTACATTGATAATATAAAACAATTATATAATTTGGACAAGTTTGGCGGGCTGAATTTTAAAAACTGCACGGGCTGCATCCGGCCCCCGGGCCGTAGTTTGGCCATGCCTGATCTAAACTCATAAATACAAATAATTTAGTGGTAAATATCAAATATCAATCAAATTTAGTTTCAATTTGATTGAAAGAAATCAAATGCTCACCAGGGCAAAAGGATTATGGGTAAAATAGCAGCGCAAACCAACATTTGGTAAAGACTGACAGGAAGTTGTAAAAACATTACCACATAATTCCGTGGTAATAAATCGGTGGATTATTACGGTGACGTCACTGATTTTGACAGATTTCAGTTTTTCATTTACCACAGGAAGTTAACAACTCTGAATCGACTTGATGTATTTTGACAGACTACTGCAGTTAAACCGTGTATTATTAATAACAAACGCGCATTGCTCCGTGTCGTCGACGGTCATTGGTTACCACTGCACAGCTATTGATATTTAAAAGATGATGAGTTGTGGTTTTGCACAGATTTGTGCGTCACTGTTTCTGGGAAGGAAGCTGCGTTTTACAACGCTGGAGTGTTTTCAGACACTTCCAGACTGGAAGGTTTGAAAGGACAGTAAATATTTTCACTTGAACTTTATTAGATTTACCAGTTCTGGAAACGGACAGAAATATTCTCAGAGTTGATTCTCCTCACTGTTGGAATTAGACTCAGTTTAAGATGTTGTGCATTTAATAACAAGACAAATTAGAAAACTAAGTTAAGACGTTTCTGCTGAAAGGTGAACTGTCCCTTTATGTTGCATTAGTTCTCAGGTCAAAAACACGATTTGAAACGTACAACAATGAAGAAACTGATCCACATTCTTTTTTAAAAGTAGTCACATGGTCACGATTGAAGTGCATTCCCACGTGGGCTTTTATTGTTTTTACAAGGAACTATAATAAAAATATTATCTTCGTGGACAAATTCCCATTTAATAATAAAAATAAAAAAAGGCACTGACGTGTGTCTGAATCTGCACATGTCCGTGCCACAATAATCAGCAGCAGAGATCACAGCTCTGTACAAGAGGTGTGTGTGTGTGTGTGTGTGTGTGTGTGTGTGCTCCTGGAAACTGCACTACCGAGAAGCCCCTAAGCTGCGCATTCTGCTGCTCTCATGCCTCTTGGAAAACAGGGATGATTTGAAACCCGTTTCTGGGAAATGTGACACAGCTGAGAGTAAAGAAACAGTTTTGATGTGACTGATGTGTGTGTGTGTGAGAGAGAGAGAGAGAGATTCTCTTGGAAACGAACACTGAACAAGGAAAGTTATAACATTGTAATTTATTTAAGAAAAACGCGATTCAACTGCATACGCAGAGAGATAAATATTAATGCAATTTTTCACATAAAACACGGCGTGATCTTGAAACAAGGAAAGTTATAATAACATTGTAAAGAGAGATAAATATTAATTATATAATTAAATTTAAATTTTCACATAAAACACGGCGTGATCTTGTAGTCATTTTGATAAATAAACTGATGAATATGTATTAGATCGGCTGGCGTACACTGACTGGAACAGAACGTCTCCATTTCTGTGAATATTGCGTTAAACGAGTTGCAGGAAACGGTGCGCTGTCTTTCAAAATAAGAGTTTATAACTTCCGGATTAATTTAGATTGCAAATTTTATATATATATAAAATATTGTTGCGTATACCGTTACATTAAATTAAAAATGGAAACAGCCAGAAGAATAAATATAATAAATAAATATGTACCATAGATCTGTGATAGTCGGGGAATTGATGACAAACTTTTAGCCAGAATTGTTGATATACTGTGTTCTAAAATAAAACTTTTGTATTATTTGTCACAATATATTTTAAATTTATATTTAAATCAGACAGTTGGTTATTTGGTTCTGATGGCACCTACATTCATCGTATATTTATTTATATTTTTGTGAAAAAACAAAACAAAAATTACAATATGAAAAATATTCCCAAAACAAAAAGTGGAATTGGTGGAATGTTGTTTCCTAAGAGTTTAAAGCTAAAGTTGGTGCACATTTCTCTCTTATTCTGTCTTTTATGTAGACATCCTACCATTGAAATGTTTTCTAAAACATCGTAGTGATGGTAATAACTATTTTTTGTTTTGTTTCAGGTTCTACCTATAAATATCATAATCTTATAAAAAGGCCTCAGTTTGTTATAACCAACTAAATCTCCAGAAAGAAAGAAAAAATAATTTTACGTAACTGTGATTTAATCTTTTTTCCTTAGAATCTGAAGTGTGTGCGTGTGTGTTGGCTGCCTCCTGCCTGTCACTGCGGGCGCTGTCACATGTAGGCTTTTCTAGGAAAGTGTTTCCTGGAAGCTGAGCTGTTTTCTGTTCTGAATAAAAAGCAGCCACACATTCTCTCTCTCTCTCTCTCTCTCTCTCTCTTTGTGTGTGTCTGTTCTGCTGCAACAGTCTAACTTACAGCACGAGACACACGGCAGACATTTTTAAAATGTATTTATATATTTATTTATGATTGAAACAACAGATCCAGCGGGAGACAAAGCCACCGTTACCTTTTTTTTTTTTTTTTTCATGTTCTGGACTGTCTTAGAAACCTGCTTTTGTTTGTCTGGAGGTGAGTTCGTTCTGTAATTCATCAAATTTGCTGCTCTGTTTATTGTCACAACATTATATGGTTTTCTGTTTTTGCTTGAGTTTTAATATGCGCACCAATTAGTTTCCTTGTCCTTGGGCTCAGGCGCGTGTAACTGTACAGCTGTTCCCGGAACAGCCAGTAGGGTCAATAACAAACGACTGGCGTTGACAGTTACTGTGTTGTTATGTGGCTTTGCTGATAAAATGATGTCCGTTTGCTGATGAAAATTATGTGGTGTGGGTATTTCCTCTACTGCACTTCTATAAGTTAGTCAAAATATATAATTTGCTTGGTAGATGATAGATACAGTAGATCGATAGATGTACATTTTATTTATATGCTTTTATTTTTATATATATATTTAGAACACACTGCCAGTGTTGTCTGGTAGAAATGGTTGCTCGGACTGGAGCTGTTTCACACCATGAGCAGCAGGTGGGCTCCTGCTGCTCACACCATTTTGTTTCATACTGGGACCCAGCAAAGGACCTCCCCTGTGTCACCACCACGCTGCACCATCTACAGACCTCAGGTGCACACCTTTCACGTACTTAACGCAGGAGTCCAGTCTTGATGTGACTAAATATTAACTTCCTTCTGTCTTCACTCAGGCTGGTACTGGGGTTCCATCTCCGCCGGTGAGGCTCGTGAAGTTCTCCTGACTAAATCTGAAGGAACGTTCCTGGTGCGGGACAGCAGTCACCCTCGTTATATGCTGACTCTGTCGGTGAAGACGCGCTGTGGACCTACCAGTGTGAGGATACAGTACAGCGAGGGTACCTTCTGGCTGGACTCCATTTCCTCTAGCGTGCCCAAACTGCAGTCTTTTCCAAGTGTTTTAAGCCTCATACAGCACTACAGAAGCCCGAGTGGCACAGAACAGGACCCTCACCCAGAAGACAAACCTGACCCAGATGGAGGAGTGCCTTTACGCCTTACGAACCCTTTACACAAACCCGGAGTCTGTCCTTCTCTGCAGCACCTGGCACGCCTCGTCATCCACAGGCACTCAAACTGCTCACAAAAACTGCCACTCCCAAAACCTCTGCTGCACTACCTGCAAGAATATCCGTTCTACATATAAGAGTGTCAACAATCCCCCGACGCCAAGGTCTCACTCAAGGACTGCCCAGCCTGTGATTCTGAACTACTGTGGTCGAGGTGTGATTGATTGATCGTTCAAATGGCAGCATTTTGGTGGCCATTTGAGGTGTGATTGATTGATTGATATCATTCAAATGGCAGCATTTTGGTGGCCATTTTTATCAGAGCTATCATAGAGCCTGCCGTGAGGTTGGATTTCCAGTGGGAGACTCAGGTACCAGCTCCCTGGAATATGAGTTTCCAAGTTACACGTAAGCAACTTCTGCAAGATTTTCCTTTTGATACGAGGAAACATCTAGTTACGAGAGCTTAACCGAGCTGTTGGTGTTGCTGACGATGATGATAGTGGTGATGTTGATGAAGATTAACTTTTGGTGTTTAATAAAATAAAAAAATGAAAAAAAAAATCCTTCTACTGCCATAGTGGCTCCGACACTGTCGCGCTCACTGTCCCTCGCTGGGTTATTTTACCCATTTTTATAACAATAACATAAAATGTTTTCTTACATATTATTATTTTATATTATAAATATATTTGTTTATATCTATGTTTTTATGTCTAGATGGGGGATTTTACTTAAGTTAATTAATAGTATATTTCTGGGGGGCTGGAACAAATGAATTGGTTTTTAAATGAGTGCTGTTTTGGAACAGATTAAACTCGTTTCTAGGTGCAGCCAATCACAGCTTTCAGTCAAAGTCTCATTGACTTCCTGTGCTCAACGGTCTCCACTACTGAAGTAGAAAGGTAGGCCAAACAGGGACGTTTAAATTCTTAGAAATTGTACCATGAAACAGTTTTAAGCCTGAAGCTGTTTTTCCTTGGAATACACCAGATAACCAGGAGTGTGATTTTCAGCTTATTTACGAACTCCAAACTCAAGGAACCAAGAAAAACTGATGCAACACAAACTTTTGTCCTTCTACAGTGTTTACATGTGATCCCCATGACGAACATTATTCATCCTAATAAACCGTTGACTTCATCCCCGGTCACACTCCTTCATCAACTGTTCTTTTCTCTTAACTTCATAACAAAATGAAACAACGCTATTGGTACAGAATTTAGCCAACATTGTGTGTGGGAGGCATTAAACAAGGTCAACACTACATGACCTCCAGGCTGCTGGTGACTCAGTCAAGACCATGTTAATATAAAAAAAATAGTCAACATTTTGTCCTTTGTTGTCTTTGTCACTTTGTTTTTGTTTTTAAATGACGTATAATTTTCTTAGAAAATAGTTCTGAGTGACACCTGTTTACGAACTGTTGTGTTTCACTTGTATTCATTCATTCACTCATTTATTCAATTTTATATTCACTCTAAGGTAAAGGCACACAGGAGCAGGAGCAGCAGTGTGTCTGTGGATTTAATAGAAATAAAAGGTGTTTTGTCAGGTTTACTTACTGCTTTTTAATATATTTGTGTGCGTGTGTGCGTGTGTGTGTGTTGACACACAGCATTCTTTCTTTTACCCCCAGCTGTGACTCGTCAGAATCATTAATGTGTCCTGGTTTCAGAGAAGTAAACATGTTTTTCTGCCATGAGAATTGTTTTGTCATCATAACAAAACTGGTCATATGAACATACATGTTTGCTTCCACCCATGTCATAAAAATCTGCCCAAGGTGGTTTCCACTGAGTTCAAAGTAGAGATGGTTCACTACAGGATGAGCTGCAAAAAACAAAAAACAAAGAGAAAAATGTCAACATGTGTGCAAGATTTTTTTCTTTAAACCATGTTTCTGGTCAGTTCTGTTGATTTAAAGAGAGCATTTTTAACAGTAGCCGTTTCAGGGGAACCACAGCTGTTGAAAGAAGAAGAAATAGAAGCTGAATTCTAATAGTAGGCCATAAATTAAACTTTTCAATTTTTCTGCAGGATCATGTCAATGACTTACAAATAACTGGGAATCTTTTCATGGATAATTTTATAGTTTGAATAATTTAGTTTCTTCTTCGTAATAATAATAATAATAATCATAATAATAATAACGACTAATTTCGTCGTTTTGTTGTTGCTTGAAGAACCACATAGTCACAAGTACAGTATCCTGTTTGTGGAGTGGGCCGCTGTGTTCTTGTCCCCGCCCCTCAGTTACTTCCTCCATCAGCAGCGACAAGGCCAACAAAGCACTACTTGAGGGCTATTGGGACAACTTAAACCGATCATTTGGGTAAGAAATCAACTTTATCATCGGCATTTATTAAGAGATGTAATCACTGATTCTTGGCGTGGTTGGAATACACATCAAAGTAGTTCACATTTTCTTCCAATATTGTTTCTTCGGGTGTCAGCTCTCCAACGAGCCGATTGGCATTTACTTCCGTTATGCTAAGCTAGGTCTACCTAGCCATACCGACTGTGTAAGTCAAGAAAAAACGACTGTTTTAAAACTAGAACATGGCTTATTTGGTAAAATGTCGACTTTGTCATGTGAACAGTGTGTGCTTAGATATCGCCGTTGCTATATCGTTAAAAACAAATTCGAATTGTTAGCCGCATATCCGGCTAAAGCAAACAGGCTAACCATGGAAGCTAATACGACGTCTATAGTAAACAGACCCTTAACCTCGCTGTCTCAAACCGACACCACGAGTTCTGCAGTTGTTTATATTTTTTAAAGACAATAAACTGTCATGTGGTTATTTTGTATTTGTTTTACTTGTGCGGGATAACTGTACGAAGAAAACAGTCGAGCTAAAATACTGGGCTGGGTCAGAAACACCGGGGCGGAAATGTTCGTCGAGAAAAAAAAACTCTTAAAGTCGGCCTGAAATGAAACAAGTCTTTTTTTCAGGAGTTCTTCTGTTTGGGTAATGTGTGAATACATTTAGATAAACTTCCAGAACAGCTCAAACCACGTCAGTAATGAAAAGGTAAATTCTTAGCCGCGGGTGTTGGTTTCATAAAGGTCCAAATAACCAACAAACCAAATAATCATAAAATAAATACATTTATTCTAGTATACTTTTGAAACTGATGTTTGTTTGTGAAAATGTTTGCAGTTTATCTATAATGAGTTGGAAAGTTTTCAGCAGTATACAGCCCCAGTGATTTATTCAGTGAAGTACTCGTAAATACTTTGTTGTAATTGATAATTGTAAACTACTGTCTGACATCATGTGTATATTATATACACATATTTTATGTTTGTGTATATATTGTCACACATTGTTTTTGTTTTATTCTCTTCTGGATAGATAGATAGATATTGATAAGTTATAAAAAATATGCCCAATTACAAACTGATGTAAAGCTCTGTGTTTTGCAATTTAACGCTTATAGAAATATATGTATTGTGATATTTATTGAAACATTTAAATTCGTTTGCTTCATTAAATTTAGATAATACATCAAAGATCATTCAATAATATGAAAGTTAAGTGGGAAATATTTTAAATGAATTGTTTGCTGCTGTACAAACAAATCATTTACTGATATTCAATTTCTTGATAATTCAGATGTTGAGTGCATGGCACCTTCCTTCCTTTTTTTCCCCCTCTTCATTGTAACCTTTGTCTGTTTCTGTGTCACATCTGCAGCCATGGCAGCAATCAGGAAAAAACTGGTTATAGTGGGAGATGGAGCCTGTGGAAAGACCTGTCTGCTCATCGTGTTCAGTAAAGACCAGTTTCCAGAGGTCTACGTGCCCACAGTCTTCGAGAACTATGTTGCTGACATTGAAGTTGATGGCAAACAGGTATGATGACTCGGTCTACTATCAATTATGGGTTAATGATGTGTAATTAATCCTAATACATTATAACTTAGTTGTGACCTATGTAAGTAATTTAATAACATAGGTTTCACGTATGTGTATTTTCTGTTGTAGTTTCCAGAGTAAACGCAAAGTAATGTGATTAGAATATCCAGTAATCACGTGCTGTCGACAATCACGATGGAAGTGGGTCAAACTTTATAGACCTGCAATTATCCAGATCACTTACTCCCACATTGTCACAATAGACTTTGTCACTGAGCTATTTGGTGTCAAAGGTATCACAGTACTGTCTTAAAGTTTGATAATGTGGAGTCGTTACTTGTTCATTTAATCAAGAAACAAATTGTCAAGTGGATAAACAGTCCAAATTAGATCAATATTTTGTATAAACATCCCATAAACATATAAACTTATTCTGCTGCAGGACAACGACCTGAAACATCCAAATAATGTCATTTAAGAAAAAAAGAACAAAATGTCTTGCAAATAAAGATGTGGACTTAATAGAGCTATGTTTTTATTTTCTCATTGTCTGAATATCTCAAAATATTATGTATATTATGCAAACAAAATTAATTATATCTTGTTGATTTTAAGTGTCACATGTATTCTCTTACTGTTACATGTATGTTTAACTACATTCCATTGCACTGGCATAAATCTGTTTTATTGCACTGTATGGAGTCATTGTTATTATTACATACATATTGACAGCACAGTGATACTCTTACTGTGGTTATAGCTAATATAGTTATAAAGCCATGTAATTACAGCCCAGCCCTAAAAATAAAATCCAGAAACCTGTGCTACCACTGAAAGCTCGATTGACTGGAAATGAGACGATGACATTTGTCTAATGTGTGTTTTGTTTGGATCATTAGCTCTACATAAAAACCAAACTTTACACCAGAGTCGTGTTGAACTTGAGAACTGTTCCCTCCTGTTGTAGGTGGAGTTGGCCCTGTGGGATACCGCTGGTCAAGAAGACTACGACAGGCTGCGTCCACTCTCCTATCCAGACACTGACGTCATTCTCATGTGTTTCTCCATTGACAGTCCTGACAGTCTTGGTAAGTGATCGCAGCTGTAGATTTACACAGTAACTCTATGACTGTTCGACTATGTTGTTTTTCTATTCAGTGTAAACAGTGCAATAGATCTGCATCACTAACCCAGTAACAAATGGGAAAAGTATTTTGTATTGGTCCCTGGAGACCTGTGATCTGAAGTGTTTTTACTCAGTTTACTGGAACCACAGCAGGGTTTATCTGAGAGCCTTTGTCTGTTCTCCCTCGTTCAGAGAACATCCCAGAAAAGTGGACCCCTGAGGTGAAACACTTCTGTCCTAATGTTCCCATTATACTGGTGGGAAATAAGAAGGATCTGCGAAATGACGAGCACACCCGGAGGGAGCTGGCCAAAATGAAGCAGGTAAAAAAAACAAAACAAAAAACAAGCACTGACACACATTTATGGTCTTTTTTTAAAGAGATATTGTTAACATATGGTCAAAGCAAAGATGTTGCTCTTTCTTGTTCAGTCTAACACTATTTAAAAATCAAACTGTGAATATTTACTTTTAACAGGGATAGTCTGGTTGTTGAATTTGAATCCTGAATTGTTTGCTTTTCCTCTCACAGAACCAATAGCTAATATTTGCCCACGATTTAATTTATTTTGTGCAGAAACATGAATCCGTTTCCTGGAATTCAACTCATCTGAGCAGTTGAACACGTCCTGTAAAGCTTTTCACTCTCGTGCTGTTCACTTCATGTGTACTTATAATTTATTATAAGTATTATAATCTTTCTTTATTTCTAAGGAACCTGTGAAGCCAGAAGACGGGCGGGACATGGCAAACAGGATCAATGCCTTTGGATACATGGAGTGTTCTGCAAAAACAAAGGATGGTGTGAGGGAAGTCTTTGAGATGGCCACCAGGGCTGCACTACAGGCCAGACGAGGAAAGAAGAGCAGTAAATGTGCCCTTCTGTAAAAGGGGACACGGGGACTGCTTCCTTTGGGGGGGGAGAAGAAGGAGCACTAGGTCAAACCTAACCCCCCCCCCCTCCTCCCACCACCACAACAACCACAAAAAAGACTGTTCTTGCCAGTTTTTACTAAAGGTGTAATGCTTTTACTTTTTTGGCTTTAGCAAAACATAGTCTGTTTCTGTCAGTATTCAATTCTGAGGTTAATGGAAAAATCAGCCTTTTGTACGTAAACATGAGTAAATTTGCCACCAAAAAAAAAAAAGCTCCTTTATCAACATGTAATCAAAGAGGTCGGCCGAGGGACCTGCTATGTCATACCTGCCAACCACAGTTAAGTGCTGAAATCCTGCCTTCTGATCTGAAGAATGTTTTCACGCAGCCAATCAGGGGGAAGTACCTGCACACTGTGACCCGTTGTCCCGTTATTACTCCAAAAGAAAAGAAACGAATGCACACATTGAAGTTAATTTTGTTTGTGCGCTTCAAATACAAAACCAACGTGCGATACGATCACCGGCACATTATAAGACTGGAAACTCATTTTGTTAAAGAGCAAAAGGAAACTTAGTGTTTTGTGTAATAAATTTCTTTGTAAGAATCTTGATTAGTTGTTCATTTTTAATCAGTCTGAAACTTTTCTTAATTCGTGGCTAATTAATTAGGTCGTATCAGAGAACTGTTAAAAAAAAGAGAATAACAATCAAGATTAGATTGTTGCAACAGTCATAAAATGTTAATCTTTTTGTTGTTTTATTTAGCCGTTTATTGTTGGAACTTGGTTGGCCTTTAAATACAAAACAAATATGCCTTTGAGGATGTTTAGTTTGGATAGAATCAAGTGCTTTATTCGACACTCACTGGATTCACTCAAAAAGAACGTGACAGCAAACACGGAAAAATGGAAGAAGTTTGTCAACTTTGTCAAACTGAAATACTTGTACTTTACTAAATGAACTTATTTGTGAGCTGCAGACAAACGTAATTAACACAAAACCACTTTTTTAACAGTCAAACACTGCGTTGGTTGGTGGAGCATCAATACTTACCGTACCTCAAAATTGGTAAAACCCAGTGAGAACGCTGCTTCAGAGAACAAACGTGTTTCACATCAGCACAGTGGTGGCAGTAGAAGTAGAAAAATAAACCAAAGGACCAAAAAAAAAAATCCTATTATATTTTTAATCTTGACTGTTTTCAGTTCCAAAGTCATTCATTCTTTTTGGCTGGAAGTCCTGAGCGGGCGAGAAACACTGGCACCAGAGCCAGTGCTCCGAGAGCGGCTGCTACCAGCGGCCGATAAAACAGCCAACCTGCTCCGATGACGAGGAGAGACAGAGAGGTGGAGATGCACAGGGCGAAGATCTTGATCCCGACAGACACCACTTCTCTCAGAACTGGGACCCAGTCCACTGTGAGGACAAACACCGTACAGAATTAATCATTAGGGCTTTTTCCATTTTTTTTTTCCATTGAGGAGATTTCATGAACACATGAGCAGCGTCGTTTACCCAGAGTGTAGATGATACGCATGGTCAACTGGATACTGAGGAACATGAGAGCCCATCCTGCAGCCCTGAGACCCCAGGTCTTCATGCTGTTTTGCTGGTGCTGTTTAGCAAACACTTCCTGTTGAGAGAACAAGGACAGGAGCAAAAAATGTGAAGGTATGTAAAATTAAAAAAAAAAAAAAGCAGTTGTCATGACATTAATTAACCATCATCACCTCTGCAGAAAGCTCCTCCAGGTACAGGATCTCCAGAGTGTCTCCTGACCTGGTCTTAAAAGGCACCAGCTGCTCCCCTCTCTGCATGGCCACAATACTGACCTGAAAAAAAGTTTAGAGATGAAATTAGAGTCAAGATCAAACAAATAATGAGTGATAATGATAGAGATCAAGTGATCAATTATTATTGGTTTTTTTGTTGTTTTTTTTTTTTTATGAAATTAGAATCAAAATCAAACAATGATGAGTGATAACGATAGAGATCAAGTGAAAGAAAACCTGACAATTTTTTTTTATGAAATGTTTCGTCAAACATTCAATCCTCCAGTGCTGGCAGCTGTAACACAGCAGAGCTATGAGGCAGACAATCATGTAGTTTTTCACCCCACAACATTCTCAAAAGCTATTGCTAACTGTTTGACGTAGCCTCTTTTACTCCTACTTATATCGGTAAGTAATAATATCTCTTATTATTAAGTAAATAAAATAAAAAATAAATAAAAATCCTAGCACATAAACACTGCAGTAATGTGTTGTACAAAATAGGTTCATGTTGCACAACATTTGTAATGATATTTTGAGTACAATCAGAGACATGCAGTACAGAGGTTAGCTTTGTGGAAGCTAAGCTACACTCAGTCACTCAGTCAGTCGTTCACAGGTTTCAGAGTAAACTTGCTGATACGAGTTACATGTATGAATGGTGAATATTTTAAATGTCTGAAGTAAAATAACCCGTTACATGCCGTAGGTAACCACAGAGTCGTCTGCATCACTCACAGTCTGAGCCGGGCCCAGATGAGACGCCTCACCACTCACTCCTGCGTAGGAAAATCTCACACGCACGTCTCCGACCTGGGTAAATATACCATTTAACAATTAACAGTCGTTGGACGATGTGATAATATATAAAACACAGTTTGACTTTCTGAACCGGTGGGTTCGCGTCTGTAAACTCACCTCTGGTCTGCGCGGGTTTTGGTTGTGATAAAAATAATCGTCATCAATAGAGAGAAAGGAATCCAAGTTGAGTGCAGCGTAGTCCTTCAAACTCAGAGTCTGAAAGTTGTTGATTTGCTCCACCAGACCTAGGAACAACAAAATTATGACCCTCAACAGTTACACCAAACAAATCTGCATCTTGACTTGACAGACTTTACCTCAGTTAGTATTCAGTTACCTTTGGAAAGGATGAACGGCCCGACTTTCACTGCAGGAGCCGCGACCGTCACACTCTCAACTGCCATTGCACTATAATAACAGAAATGTTTAAAAATGACATAAACATAAAAGCTAAAAAAAAAAACAACAATAATTTGAAACAACACAGAATGTATGATAACTCCTCGTTTACCTCGGGTTCTGGTGGCCGATTTCTTTGTCAAAGTTTCGACTGTTGACCAACTCAGATTTCCACTCAGTGTCTAGAGACAAAAAAAAAAAAAACAATCGCAGTGATTTACACTCGGTGTCTAGAGACAAAAAAACAATCGCAGTGATTTACACTGAAATAATATAAAAAAAATGTAACAAATATCAAATCAGAATCACAGAGGTTGAGAAGTGGAAAGCTCACGGTAACTGTAGGTGGTCTCGGTTTTGGTTTCTCCATTTTCTTGGTAATCTCTGAAATCAATCAGACAGTGAAACTGAAAGTGTCACTGACTGTACGTGTGTTCACGCCGCATCTGTACAGGAACTAGAAAAACACTGTGTACTTCACCCTGCCCTAGTTGTTGTCATGGAGATCAAAACACTCACTTGCTCTCCTGGTACTCCACCCACTGGTACATCTCCACCTGCCTCTTCAGCTTCACGGCCTGAACCACCACTCTGTAGTTGGGGTCATACAACGGCTACACAAACACAACAAGTGTTGACTGACAAATACTGACACATTACAGTGAGACTAAGCAGAAGTCATTGATGAATAATTCAGTCTCAGATTTTGTGTTAGAAATACTGAATAAATGAATATTTCATAAACAGCTCTGTTTTAAAGGTACATTAGATAGAAATAAAATAAATACTTAAATGGATAAATACAAGTTTAAATACTAACTAAAATTATAATTTATTTATGTACTGGGTGATATTATTTACTGGATCTGTGATCTCATTCTGTAGTTTTTTTTAATTTTTTTTTTCAAGTTTTATCAGGTTTGCCCTTAATTGTAGCTTTTTACTAAAATGATTAAATGTAACTCACCTCTGTCGTGTGCAGCTGAGCTGACAGGTGAACTAAACGGTTGTCGTTCTGTGGCTCCAGACTGATGTAAGGTCCCAAGGAGACGACCTGAGAGAGACCTTCGTCCAGAGAGGACGCCGTCTGCAGTGCTCGGCCCTGAGGAGATGAGCGGTAATATATATATCATTACATTACTGTGAAGAAAAATCTCTTTTATATAATACCTTTTAAGGACAAATGTTTTTTTAGGTGGGTTTTCTTACCTCATTAGTAAAGAGAACATAAATAGAAAGAAAGAACAGTCCGACACCCAGAACGGTTCCTCCTGCAGTTTCACCCAATCGCTCAAGAAATCCAGGATTAGACTTTGAAGACACACGTTTGTGTTGGTTTGGGTTGTGACCTGAAAACTGAGGCAAAAAGTTAAAAAAAAAAAGTTTAGTGGAGTTTTTGAAGCAGCAGCTGTGACGTTCAGGGGGGCGGGGCTGGACAATAGTTCTAAATACAAAGGTGGCTGCTGCAAAAATGTTTGGAAACCACTATTACCACACACACACACACTGATACCCAACTATGAAAATCTGTTTCCGTTTTGAAACAGATATGAAAACTACAAATGTCTGGCTGGTATCAAACTAGGGTGAGGTGTAAACCGATGACACGCCTCTTTTGCTCACTAGTTCCTTATACCCTTTGCTAATTTTCGTGTATCCGCGATTAAAATGTTTGAATTAAAACTAACTTACAGTAACGCGCCACTGTCACTGTGAATAACTCTGTAAATGTTTTTTAAAGCAGTTTTTGTGAACTAAACTAGTTAACTGCTTACCAAAAGGCGGTGATTAAATATAACATGCTAACCGGTACCACGCCTAAGAATGAGCTGACGGGAACGAGTTATTGTTTAAAACCTTAAACAGAAAGGTTTAAATAAAAACACTTAACAGGAATAAGTTATTGTTTAAAATCTCAAACAGAAAGGTTTAAATAAAAACACTTACTGTCTGTGCAGAAGACATCTTTCTTATTATTTAAACAGTGAAGTCACAGGAACAAGAACTGATGCAAACGATGAGAAAGTGCCAAACGAAGCAGCGAGTTAACGTAACGTAAGCTTCATTTGTTGAACGGCGTATCCAGTATTTGCTTAGACGGGCGGGGTGGTTGCGATGACCGCATTCGTCAATGAGCTGCAGGAGTACAAATGCTTGGGTGAATATAACCACCGCACCTTTACTGACGCAAGGTTGACTTGGCTGCGGTTCGTTGTTTTTTTTTATTTTTTTTATTTTTTTACTAGCGGAGCAAATATTTCATTACATAATCTTTAACATATCCAATGAAATATAACAATGTATTTTTTGTGACTATTTTTTATGTAGCGTATATTTAAACTTTTAAATAAAAATACTCAAGACGAAAACACTTTTTTACATTTTTATTTTATTTTTTATTTTACATGAAATCCTCCTTTCTCTAAAAATAGCACTTTTGAAATATTGGGAAACAAAATTTGTTTGGTGGAGCAAATATTTCTCTCTCTCTCTGTCTCTCAGTCTCTCTCTCTGTCTCTCTCAGACATATCAGTCTTAAGAGGATTATGTGAAAGGAGAACACAAAGCACTTAATATTACACTTGTATCGCCTTATGCTTACACACACAGTTACAACACAGCAGTACAGAACATCACTGAAGCTGTTATGATGCAGGAATATGACGTTATAGTGCTGGGGACTGGACTTAAGGTAAGAATTCATGCCATAATTGAGTCACTTTAAGAATAAACGTCTGTCCTCTTCGGGGTCACACTGTCTTTGTAGAGCTGGATGAGAAAGTGTTTTTGTAAAGCTGTTTAATTTGTTAACATCTAACTATTTTTGTCTGTCTGTCCTAGGAATGCATCCTGTCTGGTTTAATGTCTCTCAGTGGGAAAAAGGTTCTGCACATCGATAAAAATCCCTACTATGGAGGAGAGAGCGCGTGCATTTCTCCCCTGGAGGAGGTTTGAACACTCACTCTGAACACTTTTCTGAACGCATATTTAAAAATAAAAAACCCCCCCTGCTCATCCACCATGGCGCTATATTTACAGCTGTACAAGAAGTTTAGATTTAAAAAAAACAAACAAAAAAACCTGCTCATCCACCATGGCTCTATATTTACAGCTGTACAAGAAGTTT